CCGGCCCCTTGGCCTCTGCAGGCTGTAGTGCTTCCCTGGCCAAACGCTGAACGCTTGCGTTGTGCCAGCCCCACAGAACGGACTTTTGGCAAGCTGGTTTTCTGCCAGGTCGGTAAACTAGACTGTCTCGGTCCCCTAAGTGCTGTAGGGAACAGGAGAGCAAGGCCGGGCACGGAGGGGAGAAGGGTAACCCTCCTTCCATAGTTGCAAGGCAGTGGCTCGTATAACCACACCCAAATACTAATACTTTTTTTTAATTATTTGTAACTGTTCACACTTGACCCCAGAGGGGGCTGCAACTCACCCTCATTCTCACTCCTTGAGAATTCAGTTTCACAGACTCAACCCACCTAAGTTTCGGCTGCCAGTTTCCTGCTGCCTCCTGTGTGCTGGCACTACCAGGCGCGTTGCTGTGCAGCGGGAGTTGCTGCGCTCAAAGCAGCAGTCGGTCCCTCGAGCCTTGGTGACAGCGCGGGAGAAGGCACGAGGCCCTGTCTGGAGAAGATGACACAGATCGCTAAGCCAGGTTGGCTGATCAGCCAGCCCCACACCAAGTTGGAGACACCCCACAAGATCACCAAGCCAGGCTGGCTGTTGCAGCTCTACTTGGTCTTAGACTCTTAAAATTTTGGTGGAAAGAGACTTTTAGATAGCATCTGCTTCATTCCACTGCTCGTAGCAGGGCTAACTTGGGCACCAGGCACACCTCTCAAGTCAGGTTAGGTTACCTTCTTCACCTGTGGTGTTGCTCACTGGGCACTTGGCTGAGCCGTTTCAGTGCTCTGACTCGGGAGAAATATTTCTTTTTAATTGTTGCATGAGTTTTCTGCCAGCTTGGCATGCTGGAACAGCTTTTTCAGAGCCAGCATGAGTAAGAGGGTGGGACCAGGGAGAGCACGGCTATAGCAGCCAGCGGTTAGATTGGCTCAGGCGATCATGAAACCGCAACATCCGGAGCAGTGGGCAAAGGGAAATCTCCTGGCAGCTGAGAGGCAGGCAGGGGG